AAACAAACGAAGAATACGACCCTATTCACGCCGAAAAAAGCGTATCATCTGCCGCGACCGCCAGGCCTCTGTCAGCCGTCGGACGGCCGTGCTCTGCCCCACAGCGCCCTCACCGGCGTGCCCGCACATCGCGACACACTGACGGCCACCGGACGGCACACCTCCGCATTCTAGTCCACCCTACCACGGGGCACCAGTCGGAGCGTCTCTCACCGTATAGTTCAAATCGCGAGCTTCCGATCGAATGACAAATGCCATTCGATAGAAATGACAATAACTTCCCAGTGTCACAGGGCCAAATAATGCAGACGTGTACAGTTGCGGCAACGAAGCACCACTGCAAACACCTCCAAGCCAGCGGCCGCTCCACACGGGCGTCGGCGCAGAGCTCCTCAAGACCCGAGCCCGAGAGCCGACCGAGGCGACAGACGCGTAAAGCCCGGATCTCGGTCCGCTTCAACATCCATCATAGGACCCGGGCCCGGACACTTTTCATTAGCCGCGCTGCCGGCGAGCCGCTCATGCCGACATTAATATAGCCGGCAACAAAAGGAGGGCCGCCCTCCGAACCCCGCCGAAACGCAGGCGTCCAATATAAACGTCGCGTCGACAGCGAGACGCCTTAACCCCTGCAGCCGCAGCTTCGCTTCTCCTCTCTACACGGTTTCTCAGGGTGAAGCCCGCTTTACACGAGTGAGCGAGAGCGCGTCGCGGGGGCGCGGAGCGTCGGAGCGACCGTCCGGGGAAAAGCGCGCGGGTTTTCGCCACTATCTTTTTTGGCAGTTGTCTGGCTTTCCATGGATGCTTTTGGATCGAGCGAAATTGCGCCGGGAGGTTCACCCGTCTATATTTATATTTGTTTATTTTCCCCGAGTGGCTTTACGGTTCTTGACGGCGAGATTGAGCGCGTGGGGCGGAGCCCTGAGATATTTTTGTTTTGGGTTCGGCCGAAACAGAGAGTGCCACATGTTGACTACAGCCGAATCGCGGACAGAGTTACTGCTTCCTCCGATGGTCCATGGACGGAAGTGCATTTAAAAGGAGCCCGAAATCGACGGAACCTCTTTGGGGATTTAAAATGGCTGCGGTGAAACGTCCTAAAGTCTTTTGACATGTTGCCACCCTTCATAAACACAATGCTAAAAATGGGAACCGTACCTCATGTGGACGAATAATTTATTTCATTTAGCGTTGTGCGAACCTACCACTGTTAATGTTTCTACTTTTTTTTTTCTTTTGCTGGCGCAGTTTTTTTTTTTTTTTTTGCATAGTATATGTATCCAACGTTGAATTTATCGTTCTTCCTTTTTATCATTTTTGTTTGTTTGTCATTACCTTGTTTTGAATAGCCAATAAACACGAACTTTCCGGGTTAACCTTCTCTATCTTTAATTACCAAAATGCGTCGGAAGCAAGCGAGACAAAGCAATGTGCACCATCTTGGCAAATGGCCCTATTCGCGACTCCAGCAAAACAGACAGCACCAATAGCGGGGAAACACCGAACTGAAGGAAACAGGCCATTTCACGATGTCTGTTCGTCTTTGTGGCTTCCGTGACTACATGTTGTCGGCCGCAGGTACGATGGAACAGTTGTTCCGGCGTCTCTGTTATGACTGTCGTACAAGCGTGTTGCCCGGGTTGCTTGGAGCGCAACCTACGCTACTGCGTGAACCATACAGTATGTGTTTGTTTTGTCATGAGTAGCCAGGATAGTAGCATGTCCAGATTTCATTCAAAATAAATTCTTTTTTTTTTTTTTTTCATGTTACATTTTCCAGCGTTCGGAATTAGCTAACTTAAGGCGCATTCACACTGCGAGAAAAAAAAAAGCGCGATGAAAATTGAGTGTTCTTTTTTTTATTATTAAAAAAATGTCGCGCGTCGTGGGGGACGACGCCAGAAGGCGACATCTCCGGACCCAATGTTTCCCTCGACCCGCGCTCTCGAGCCAATCAGCGAGCGACCGGACGTGACGTGCGGTCTTTTTCCGGATAGGACCTGTTTTTGCTCGCGCAGGTCCAGACGTGTCTGGAAGCATTTCAGCGTGGAGAAAAGCAAGACGATCGGAACATCTGACCGTGAGCAGTGTTTCATGTGCGCGTACAACGCCGTCATACTACTCTTCATCGTTTGCGTGAGAGCCGCTACCGAACGACGAACTTTGAAGTATGTTCCAACTGCGCGGGATAAATCACCGTGTCCTGTGCATTCTTTTTGTGCACGCCACCACTACGGAATAAAACAGTTTCCCTTCAAAAACACTATCGCACAAGCTGCGTGCAGTGCTATCAAAGGTATACCGGACGCGCGGGCGTAGCACCGTGCTAAGCTTTGTTTGCAAGAAAACATTTAAAAATAACATTATCTGAAGCTGCGTGCTTGAGTCCGTGCCCCTTACATATGCTGCATACAACTGGAGTGTAACGTATATATAATCATCGCTGTTGTTCATTCACTGCACACGATTGCCTCCGAGCGCATATACAATCGCGAGGGCAAGGCAACGACGATCGTACGAGGCAGACGAATAAAACATTGTTCTCTTGACAAACGCGAAGTTCCCCGAGAAGACGCCAATGTCGGGTGGGCCTGTGTGACTGCCTCGTCTTCATCGACAGTGGAGTTGTCTTCAACAAAAACGCGTGTTTTTTGTTTGTTTTTTCTTTGTTTTTTTCTGTGTGAATGCGCCTTAACACAGCACTCTGGTCCCTGTCCCGCAGTTTCGCACCGAAAAGCGGCCAGTCGGTGGAACGCACGCTCCGATCAAAGGCGCCGCCACACAAGGCTCGGCGGCAAAAGTATACATCCGTGCCTCTTTTCCACACGTGACCCGTTACGCTAACCTAGTTGGAGTCGCGAAAGCGTCAACCCCAAAGCGGCCACACTGTTTAAAGGGCGACACCCCCGACCCTGCTGGATCCTATCTGGCCGCTTTAGTGCTTCCTCTTTCGGAGCCTTCCCTCTCCCTGTCTCTCCCACTGAATCCAGCATGCTCCTTCCTCGTGATCAGTTGCACGACTCGCGAACCAGAGAGGAGTTGACAACTCCACCTTTCTCTCCGTCTCCTGTCTTACAAGTCAGACGAGGTGTGGAGTTTTGGCACGCTAAGACGCGTATGCTAAGAGCGGAGAAGGAAGGGCGACCTGTTTGGATGAGGTTCATATCATAGGAGGCTCGCTTTTTGTTTATCATTCGCCAGTCCGTTGGAGGTGACACCACCGCAGCGCAAAAGACAGGAAGGAGAGAAGCGACATTTTAGGTGGGCATCGGAAACTGGCGCGGCTGGCGACCGAAACGTGGAACAGGAAAACGGAGTTGCGAATGGCAGCTTAGCGACATTCTGGTCGCACCGAGTGACTTGGCGGCGGTTCGGGTGTTTGGAACAAAAATGGCAGCGTCACGACAAAATCAAACGGGAGACTCCGTGTTCTACACGCAAAACGTGCTTTGTCATGCCTCTTCTTTGTTCGTTACTCGCGGAAGACGTTTCACAGAATCGAAGGACTCGATGATTGACAGACACATATAAGCCCGAAATGCACGGGGAAAAATTAAATGTTTTTTTTCGTGGTACACCATGACGCCACCTCATCTTTGTGCTGATGCACGAAGGACCTCCGCTGTTCAAAGAAGTGTGGCTTAACTTATCTGTCCGGCATCCCTTGTGGTGCAGCCTGGCGCGACATTATTTGCACCGTCTAATGGGCCATTTACATTTGCGAATTCGCGGGTGGATCCGCGCAGGCAGAAAATGGATTTTAGAGACCGGTGGCAAAATCGACTCGTCGCTGGCGGAAAACATGGATCAGTCCATGACCCATATTCAGATTTTCCGACAATGACTAGTGGATTTCGCCAAATGGCTGCAAAATCCACTTTCCGCCTGCGCGGATCCGGCCGCGAATCCGCAAATATAAACGCGTCGTAAAGCGGCAGTCTAAACCTCTTTAGAAATTCACATCTCGAGTGTTAGAGGGTCCGAACTAGCGGCGAACCACCGCAAAATGTCCTAATGATCGCCACCGCGGAATGCTAAAGTCTAAATGCCGAATTCGATAAGCAGTGAATACGTCGCAAAAAGGCGACGAATTGCGCCCGGCGGCGTTCGCGTGTCACTCGCCGTTTGCGCCCGTGTCCGTTTAGCGGACGGAGCGCGAAACTATCGCGCTCCGGACTTCACTTCTTCAGAAACGCGAATGAACACAAAGCCCAGCGCGCGAACTCCACAAACCAGCACGCGCTTTTGTCGCTTCGCGGAAAGTGGGCAAATCAGGCCCCGTATACCACGGACACCCAAGATGGCACCCGCCAGATACTTTTTACTTGAGCAGTTCCCGAACAACACGTGCAACGTGCGGGTGCGGGTGAACAGCTGGTACCCCACTGAAGAGTGAGATCCGCTCCTGCAGATTTGGCATCGCTTTAGGAAAGGACTGGAAGTTGTTCCCGACTGTTTTTGTTTCCTGCGTCCTACAAAAAGGTGATCCCTCGATTCCCGCCTGATGAAGTAACTGAAGTTGTCGCCCGGCCATGATCCTGGCCGTCTCACAGCAGAGGTGGTGCACGTGACAAATGCCTGCTTTTTCTTTTTTTCTTTTTTTTTGCAAGTCGCTTTTTTGACAGTCTACGGGAAATTCAGCAGTCAACCCTAAACACATCAATCCAAGACGCCTTCTGTGGCTCCGTAGTTGAACTGGCTCGATCGCGTGGCAGCGTAAGAACAGACAACGTAACGGGTTTTTTTTTTCTCTCTCTCTCCGTCTCTATCTTTTATTCGAGATTATTCTATATGTGTACTAAAAAAAAAAAAATCACAGCCGCGTTCGAAACATTTAATTTGTCCGTCCATTTGTTTTTTTCTTTCCCTTATAGTATCGGGTTTACCTTTTGAGAAATAAAATGAGAAAGCGATTGGCGCAGCCGTGTGTACCTCTTTTAATAACGAACCTCATATCACATCCCAGGAAAAATACAGGCACGACGAAGGGGAGAGGAAATTACTCGTAGTCTAAACTAAGACGGATACTGGTGCCTTCATGTGCGCTTTGCATTGAGGCACCCCAGCAACAAAGTTCTCGCCGTCATCCTTGAAGAAGCGCGTTGAAATAAGGTGCCCCCTGGTCCCGTGTCAGGTCCGCCAAGCTGTGCAGACACTGGAAGCCCCGACGCGTGCTCACGCAAACCATGCCCCGAGGACACGCAGACGGCGAACACTCAGGTACCACTGCATCATGCGCAAAAAAACAAATGTTTATCGTTCTTTTTAATTTTTAATTTTGTTGCGGGAATTTGTTACGCATGCCCAAAAATTGTCGAACGGAACGTCTATGACTCGTCCATGGACCACGAAATGGATTAGTGAATTGTATTTTTCGTTCTCAGATTATGCTAATCTTGCAACTCGCAAAAATGAAAAGCATTGCGTTTCAAACGCATCTTAATCAACTCTACTTTGAAGTTTCTTTTTTTTTTTTTTAATTCCTACTATTTCTAGGCGCTACTTCTCTAGGTTTACTACTTTTCCGTTCTTATTTGTAGAGATTTCCGCCATCCAAAAGAAAGTCTGGAAACACGAGTCACCGCAATATGAGTATAGTTGGAACGCCGCGTGTCGTTTTCTCCTTGAATTCATTAGGGAGTTTTAGAACAGCGCACGCTAAAGCTTTGCGTACGCAAAGAATAGCGTCGTCGCCACTGCGCATGCTCCGAACGCAAACCAGGTATTGCGCTTTGCGTGCGCAATTTCAGCGTGCGCTATTTCTCGGAAATAGCGTGCGTACGCAAGAGTATTTGCGCTTCTCCAAGGAGGATTCGTGATCAGAAGTTGGCTAAAGCCAAGACGAGCAGAGTTAAAAAAAATGGCGGCTTCCTGGGATTATGTCGGCAGCAGCTTTGGCGGCGTCGTGAGTGCGACGTCGGTGGCATCCTCGCGACTGCGATTTTCAATACGGGACGACATTGTACTCGGTTTGGCAACGATCACCGGCAACTTGATGCTTGCGACGCGCGAACATTTCTCAGCGATTCGGTACGATGTGCCAAGGTCAGTACACTAGACCTCCCTTGCCGAGGCGACGCAAGCGGACACGACCGGTCAACCGCTCGCGTCGCATTCTTATGTTTAAACAAATCTAAAATGATACTCTGAACCAAAAACCTTGTTTTTTTCTGAAGTTACAGCATTTCGTGTATGAAAAAAAAAAAATTGTGATTGTATCTTGGTGGCGTCGCAAGCGCGAGATGCTTGCGCTTTTGCGTCGCGACGGAGAAACGCTATTCTAAAACTCTCTTACGTCGCGTGCGCTAATACAAGCGCAAAATTTAGCGCTAGCGTGCGCTAAAGTTGCGTACGTTATTCTAAAACTCCCTATTTTCGTGCGGCCTTCGAAGCACGGATCTCACGGTGACTCCCGTTCGAATTTCTATGGAGAGCTGCCTTTTGTATGATGTGTAAGTATTATGGACCCCGGCTTTCAAGGAGCGATGCAACAATTTTTGTACGTTGCGCAAATACCGAATAAACAGATTCCAGACGTTAATGATCTGTGAAACACCCGTTCGTGTTTCACCACAGGCAATCGAAGTCGCATAAAAAATTATAGGAAAACGTGCGGCGTCCACCCCCTTTACTGGCAGCCAGAACAAGCGTCGACGTGATCTGGAGCCGATTATATGCCGTCAACGTTTATCATAGCCACGCGCTGGGGTTAGCAAGGCACAGGACACGCGCTGAGTTTCAGGCATTGTTATGTGTTACTAGTAGTTTAATCAGAACGTCTAGTAGTAGAAGTAAAAGTAAAACATGGGTTCGGTAGCCCAGCTGCCATGGCGGTGTCATCCGGTCGTCCCGCGATGCTCGGGCCAGGTGTCCTTGCTCGCGCTGTCTTCGCAGCGCGCGGGTTTTGTGGTTGGCTGTCACAACGGCAGGTGGCGCTACGCCCCAGTATGTACCAGAGCCGTGGTATGTACTAGAGTTCCTCGATATGCTGTAGGGAGCTATATACAGGAACTCTAGTATGTACTAGAATTCCTCGATATGCTCCCCCGAAGGGGGAGCAATGTTGCGCACACTGATCTCAATGACAATTGCTGGATCGCGCTTGCCGCTCCCGCAAGTGAAGCCACCGGGCGTCACTCGCTTGGGATACGATTTGCCGTTTTTGCTAGCCTTTGCTGCGGTTTTCCAGCGTGCTCACGACACGTTTTCTACTCGTTCGTCGTCATTCGCCGAAGAAGTTTTTTGAAGACTCTGTGTATTGTTGAGACTTTCCGTTGTGAACACGTGGAAAATTTTACGAAAGTGCAGTGTCGCAGGAAAAAGGCACAACGCGTCGAAAGGAAGGGCTGGCGGCGTGTTCAAAGCATCCTTGGCAAGCCGAAGTGCCGTGTCTCTGTGCCTTCGCGCGCTTGGATACCGACCAAGAACCGACGCCGTGTGAATGTGTTTAGCGAGTGCAATGTGCGTGAAGCCGTATCAAAAGGTACAACTCGTCGAAAACGTGTCGCCGGTGTCGCGGCGTGATCAAAGCTTCCTTGGCACGCTGAGTGATGCATCTTTGTGTCTTCGCACGCTTGGATACCGGTCAAGAATTGACGCCGCGCCAAAGTTCTGAACGTGTGTCGCGCGTAGATGCCTTTAGATCATTTATATATATCGGCCACGGAGTTCTGGATCGTCCAGCTGTTCCGGTGAGTTGCTATCAATAAAAGGGGGAGATCTGTACGTATTCTTATGTTCTATATTAACCATGGCTATATCCCAAATCTACTCTAATAGATTCCGTGGGAGCACGAATAGGGCAACGTTGTACGTGGAGCCAGGGGGGTTTTCGAAAGCAAAAGTACAAGACGGCGAGAATGAAAATCTTTGAAGCGCGGCCGATATGGTCGTGTGCAATCTGTTGACCAATTACAATTAGGCGAGTCACGTAGGTTGATAATAAGCCAGCACTGATCAGTGATGAGGAGCTGTTGTGCACGGTATTGTGTAAATCGTCTAAGGACGAAAAAAAGACGTACCTTCTCCCCATCCTCTGTCGCTAGTGGACGCTGGATTAAGCTCGTTCCTAAACCGCGAGGGGAAAAGACGCTGATCCAGAGGCACGAACAGCTTCACGCACATTGCACTCGCTGAACACATACACACGGCGTCGGTTCTTGGTCGGTATCCAAGCGTGCGAAGGCACAGAGACACGGCACTTCGGCGTGCCAAGGATGCTTTGAACACGCCGCCAGCCCTTCCTTTCGACGCGTTGTGCCTTTTTCCTGCGACACTGCACTTTCGTAAAATTTTCCACGTGTTCACAACGGAAAGTCTCAACAATACACAGAGTCTTCAAAAAACTTCTTCGGCGAATGACGACGAACGAGTAGAAAACGTGTCGTCAGCACGCTGGAAAACCGCAGCAAAGGCTAGCAAAAACGGCAAATCGTATCCCAAGCGAGTGAAGCCCGGTGGCTTCACTTGCGCTGCAGCGAACAAGCGGGGAAGCGCGATCCAGCAATTGTCATAGAGATCAGTGGTTGCGCATTTGTTTTCCCGCGTCGCCACGCCGCTATTTGCCCAGATCCATCACGTGAGGAGCAAAGCATCCGGCGCCGTACAAGAAAGCCACCTTTACGGTCGCTCCGCCGACGTTGCTCGCGCCCCGGCGTATGTTCCTCTGCTTTCGCATCCTTCTCCTCTTTTGCTGTTTTCCATGCGCGGCGGCGCGCACGGCGCCACTATTCGCCAAATTTAGTCCCGTGACGAACAAAGCATCCAGGGCGTGCGGGAAAGCCGGCGCTACGGCTACCCGCCGAGGCTGAATGCGGAACTCTGCTACCGTAGGCAGGGGCGGATCCAAAACTCAGTTGTTTTTTTTCTTGTTCTTTTTTTGAGGGGGGGGGGGGGCGGAAAATTAGTAAGGTTACCATTCTCCCACTCTTTCGTGTGCACCGGAGGGTCCCCCCACGTCAAATTGCTTCTGAGAAGGGGGGAGGGGGGGGGGGGGGGGGTCGACCTTGTTTGGGGGGTAGGGGCGACCACCCCCGTCGCCCCCCCCCCCCCCCCCGCCTCCCCCCTTGAATCCGCCCCTGACCGTAGGTAACTATATAGAGGAACTCTAGTATGTGCGAAAGCCCCTCTGTCCTGGGAAAAGCGGCGCCATTTATTGTTGTGCAAATACTCGAGACACGTGCCGCGCGCCTCTTCTGGGAAGAACATGGCGTCTGAAATCTAGCTCAGTGCTGCGCTGTGCCGCCATGATCTTCCCAAAGGCTGCACGCTGCACGTGCCTCGTGCATCGGCGCACCTTGCGCTACTTTTGAATCATGAAGGGGCTTTAGTATGTACATATGCACTTCAGCGGACATAACATCTTTCCCCTCTCAGACTTGTGTCTGGTATACCTCTGAGGTGGGCGTCTTGCCCGCTTAGATGTCCGCTGAACCGGTGTGTCTGCTTTTCTTGTCGTTGTAAGTTGGCGTATAGATATGGGACCGGGCAGTTTCTTCGACATCTATACCCCATGTTAGAGTCGCCGACGCACGGTCATCTGTATTTCTTTCGCAGCATCGTTTTCTAATCTGGTTCCAGTGTCGGTGAACCACTCCTAACCCACACTGAGCATTCCACGAACGAGGTCCTATTCGTTTCATCAACACCTGGAACTCGGTCAAGTTTTTTGCGGAATTGTCGGACCATGATGGTATCTCCCACTCGCAGCTGTCGTTTCTGGGTAGCTTCTTGGTTGCTATCGTTGACTCTGTTTGTGGCACTACTCAACCCAGGGAAGTTCGCAGTTCTCGTCCAAACGTTGCTTTAGCTTGTGTGATGCTAGTTGTCTGTTGAGCTGTGCAGTGTTGTCGAAACAAGAACCGTAACAATCTGAAGTTCACCGATCCGAAGGCTCCTTGGCCAACGCTCTCTTCAACTCGCCAACGTAGCGTTCTGCTTGTCCGTTGGTATCAGGATGATACGGAGCCGACGTCACCTGTCAAATTCCGTTATTCTCGTAAAATGTTTGTACCTCGGCAGACACAAATGCTGTTCCATTATCAGACACTACCTTGCGTGGCATGCCAAGCGTTGCGTACATTGATCGCAGCACCTCGATGTCTGCTCTCTACGCGGGATAGGTTACCCGTCGTACCTCCACACATTCGGTCGTAGCTTCAACCACCACTAAGAATGTATGTCATTTTACAGGTCCAGCAAAGTCTACATGTCTATAGAGTGTGCCA